TAAGGCTTGCTGGGAGTGGAATGGAATATAAAGCAGCTGTCCTTGCAGCTGTGTGCTCCAGTGTCCAATAAACTGAAGGTAGCTTTAGATAATCCATGGTCTAGATACTGATCCTGTGTCCTGTAATATAAAATCAATAAACATGTCATCTTTGAAATAAACAATGATGAAAAGGAAGATGAGATATAGATGAACGTGTGCTACAGACATAACTCATGGCGTAGCTATAGGGAATAAATGGCACACTTGTTAGAGGTCAGCAGTAGGGGAAAACTATTTCAGGTCTCATACTGTAAATTCTGCCCGTTCCCCTGTTCACAATAATGGTATCAGTGAATACTGAGGATATGACACAGAAATCACCAGCAAGCATGAGGTGGTTTATCTATTTATCCTCCGTTTTTTTCAGAGAATACTGCACCACTTGTGTCAGTCTTAGCACCAGGGAAGCTTTCTACTCTAATGTTCCACCACAGTTACGTTACTATTTATATTAGACATTTATATAGCTCTGATAAATTCTGCAAGATTGCACAGAGAACACTGAGTGCTTCAGATTAGCATCTGCAGATGTGCTGCCTTAGCCCTGGTTCACATATATGACCGTGCGGGTCGCGTTTTGCGCGGGCACGAGAGCCCATTAATTTGAATGGACTCCCGTGACCATGACATGCAGAGAAGTCCCTGCACTTCTTCTGCAAATCCAGCCCGCACAGGAACCTCAATTCCCAGTACCGTTGCGATTTCCAGTGCGGGTGGCGTGCCATTAGAACTAATGGCACCCGCCCGCGGGTCCACATTTCTCTGTGCAGGTGGTGCGGTTGCATGGCTTTCGTGCAGATCCGCAGCGGCACCACCCGCACAGATGTGAACCTACTGTAGTCTTATAGAGCACTTGTTCTCACTTTCCTGTCTGCCAATTAATCAGAGACCTTAAATAGGTGTTCTGAAATTACTGTCTTTCATACGTTGCCCACTGCTGGCAGTACAATTTCATCACATGTTTATTTGGACTGTTCATTGACCTTAAAATGGCATTCTTTTCTAATGCACCATGTGGGTCTGGTTCATATCAATGTGGGTTTGCGTGGGTATGGCAGCCCATTCATTTGAATGGGCTGCCTTACCTGCACTTCCTGCAAGAAAAGGGTTCTGGCACCATTCTAAAAACACAGCTGCTGGGATGCATTTTTAGATGTGTGGGGTGCCATTCAGAATGAATTGCAGCCCTGTCCATTTCCAAAGAGTGTGCTTTGACTGTGGGTGGTTGCAGGCAGATGTGAACCAGGCCTTACTGTAAACCTGTCACCCGTGTGTGGGAAAAAAAAAAAAATGGATGGACAGTCCAACAGAGGAAAAAGAAAGAAGGCATAATGAGAAAAGAAGAGAACAAAAAAATAAAATGAAGATGATAGGGTAGAACATTAGTCTTGTTAGGTGAAAATGTGAAACCGTGACTTTAGCAGCAAAGCTGGTCTGCAGTCCCTCATGGCCTCCAATTTGACCCTAATACGCCTAATGATAAGGCTAATGTGAACCACACCAGTCATCTAAATAGCAATAAAATTGAAAGAACAACAATTAAAAATGCATAATACGATTTACATTCAAAAATATCTCCATATGGATTTGCCTTGTGTATTTTGCACAAACATATTCATATACAGTTGCAAGAAAAAGTATATGAACCCCTTGGGATTACGTGGAGTTTTGCATGAATTGGGCATAAAATGTGCTCTGAACGTCATCTAAGTCACAACAATAGAAGAACACAGTCTGCTGAACATAATACTACACAAACATTAGATGTTGCCATGGGTTTAATTCCACATAACATGTAAACATTCACAGTGCAGGGAGGAAAAAGTATGTGAACCTTTGGACTTAATAACTGGTTGACCCTCCTTTGGCAGCAATAACCTCAACCAAACGTTTCCTGTAGTTGCAGATCAGACCTGCACAACGATCTGGAGTCATTTTGGACCACTACTCTTCACAAAACTGTTTCAGTGTAGCAATATTCTTGGGATGTCTGGTGTGAATCGCTCTCTTAAGGTGATGCCACAGCATTTCAATTGGGGTTGAGGTCAGGACTCTGACTGGGCCACTCCAGAAGGCGTATTCTGTGCTGTTGCAGCCATTGTTTTGTAGAATTACTTGTATGCTTTGGGTCATTGTCCTGTTGCATCACCCATCCTCTGCGGAGCTTCAGTTGGCGGACAGATGGTCGTATGTTTTCCTGCAAAATGTCTTGATAAACTCTGGAATTCATTTTCCCATCAATGACAACAATCCGTCCAGGCCCTGAGGCAGCAAAGCAGTCCCAAACCATGATGCTCCCTCCGCCATGTCTCACAGTGGGGATGAGGTTTTGATGTTGGTGTGCTGGGCCTATTTTTCTCCACACATAGTGTTGTGTGTTCTTCCCAAACAACTCAATCTTGGTTTCATCTGTCCACAGTATATTCTGCCAGTAGTGCTGTGGAACATCCAGGTGCTCTTTTGCAAACTTCAAACGTGCTGCAATATTCTTTTTGGACAGCAATGGCTTCCTCCGTGGTGTCCTCCCATGTACTCCATTCTTGTTTAATGTTTTCCTTATTGTAGATGTGTCAACAAAAATGTTAGCATGTGCCAGAGATTTCTGTAGGTCTTTAGCTGACACTCTGGGATTCTTCTTTACCTCATGCAGCATTCTGCGCTGTGCTCTTGCAGTCATTTTTACAGGATGACCACGCCTAGGGAGAGTAGCAACAGTGCTAAACTTTCTCCATTTGTAGACAGTCTGTCTTACTGTGGACACATGAACATCAAAGCTTTTGGAGATACTTTTGTAACCCTTTCCAGCTTCATGCAAGTCAACAATTCTTGATCATAGGTCTTCTGAGAGCTCTTTTCTGCGAGGCATGGTTCACATCAGACAGTGCTTCTTGAAACCAGTAAACAAAACAGGTGTGTGCTTTTTAAGGGCAGGACAGCTGTCAGCAACACATCCAATATTATCCACTGATTGGAGTCAACGTTGGCTCACTCCTGGCTCCATATAGCTCTGGGAGAAGTCATTAAGCTAGGGCCTCACATACTTTTTCCTCCCTGCACTGTGAATGTTTACATGTTATGTGCAATTAAACCATGGCAACATCTAATGTTTGTGTAGTATTATGTTCAGCAGACTGTGTTCTTCTATTGTTGTGACTTAGATGACATTCAGAGCACATTTTATGCCCAATTCATGCAAAACTCCACGTAATCCCAAGGGGTTCACATACTTTTTCTTGCAACTGTACATTGATCAGCCATAACTTTATGACCACTGAAAGGTTAAGTGAATAACACTGATTAGGGTATCTTGTAATATTGGCATCTGAAAGTTGTTGGATCATTAGACAGCAAGTAAACATGTTGTTCCTGAAGATGTGTTGAATGCAGAAAAAATGTGCATTACAGTTTGTAGCTGCAGCCTGGTCAGGGTGTCCATGCTGACCCATGTCCATAGCCAAAGGTGCCTACTATGGGCATGTAAGCATCAGAACTGGAGCAATGAAAGAAGGTGGCCTGGTCTGATGAATCACCTTTTCTTTTACATCATGTGGATGTCTGGGTGTGTGTGGGCTTACCTGGGGAAGAGATAGCACCACAATGCAGTATGGGAAGAATATAAGCCAGCAGAGGCAGCATGTAATGCTTTGGGCAATGTTCTCCTGGGAAACCTTGGGTCCTGCCATTCATTTGGATGTTACATGACACATACCACCTACCTAAACGCTGTTGTTGACCACGTACACCCCTTTGTGGAAACAGTATTCCTGATGGCAGTGGCTCCTTTCAGGAGGACAATGTGCCCCGATCCACTGCAAAAATAGTTCAAGAATGGTTTGAGAAATACAACACAGAGCCTAAGGTGTTGACTTGGCCTCCAAATTCTCCAGATCCCAATCCAATCAAACCAAACATCTGTGGGCTGTACTAGAAAAAAGTCCAATTCAAGGATGCCCCACCTTGCAACTTACAGGATTTAAAAGATTCAACTGACGGCTTGGTGCCAGATACCACAGCATACCTTCAGCGGTCTAGTGGCATACATGCCTTGACAGCTCAGAATTGCTTTGGTGGCAAAGGGTAACCTACTCAATATTAGGTTGGAGGTCATCAAGTTATGGCTAATCGGCGTATATTGTAAACAAACTCTTTAAATATGTTTATTACAAAATGCATATCATTTACCTTTTCATTTGAGGAACAATGATAATGCAATACATCTGGGAAAACTTGATCTATGAATTTGAACACAACATTGTCAAAGTTAAGAAAATAAATTTGTTTTGCAGCTCTAGACAAGAGACATTGTTTTACGTATCAAAAATACTTGACAGTCAAGCATTATAAATATTATAAACTTCACAGATCATGACTACCATATATTAAATAGACCGCCTAAAATAGTGTTTTCGTTAAAGGTTGATGCTGGAGGAATTATTTACACTCGTTATGTGCATCTTGGGAACTCCCTGCTTGGAGTGCTTTATTGAAATTTCCTGCTGTAGTAGGAGCTTCAGTGTTCCAGTCTCATTCTCCATAATGTAAAAGAGATGACTAATTCAATAGAAGAGGAAGACCCCTTCTCTTAGCAGAAAAACTGCAAAAGAAGTCAATGGGGGTGCCTAAAGTCAGGCTAACGTGGCAGTGACCACAAAAAAGTGACCGCGTATACTAACACCTTACTGCAATTTGCCTAAAAAAAAACCTAGGCTTTGCAATACTTTTATGCACAATTCATTACTCCTAAGCAGCTTTCAAGTCCAGGACTTTATTATTTGGGTTTGAGCTGCTTACAGCATTGTTTTTTATACAAACACATTTTTAAGCATCTGTTTCGTAATGAAAAAGTCACATGTTGGCATGTTTCAATGCAATCCAATGCTACATTTGGCAGAAATACTGCTAGTAAATTTGCTGTGCTAAGTGGACCATTCGATCATTTTGTTTCCAGGACTTTTTCTTTATGTTGGTTCAAACATTCTGTATGTTCCTTCTCCTATTATACCATCAAGTTCATCATAGTACTCTTTAGTTTCTCTAGTCACATTGGGGTGCACACACTTGTAATAAAACAACCTTGTCATGAGACCTAGACCAGTAAGTAGAGCAGCTGTCACAATTATTAATATTTCATACTTATCCATGATGGATGGAAACCTCAGAAACGTCCATGAGAGCAGAAGTATCATAGAATCTAGGGTAATAAATATATGGTAGAAAAGACATCTGTAGACTGTTTTCCCATCAGCTATGTTAAACCACGAGAAGTAAAGGATCACAGCTACTGTTGCTCTGTAGAAAGGCTCCAGGAATTTATTTTTCATAAATTCGGTCTTCTGCAGGCATGCCCATAGAAAAAATACAAAACACACAGCAACAAAATGCACAGCAATCATCCAATGAAAGGTGACCACAAAAAGTGTGATACATATGATACGTGATGAAATTAAGAATAAATTCCACAGGAAGTAAATGACTGAAGAGAAAAGGTTCAGCTTTTCTTTGTCTTTCAGAAACAGTCTTAGTGACTGGTGGTAGTCCAATATTGCCCAGCTAATGCAGATGAATGAAATAGCTATGCTGAAATCTAAAAAAATATAAATAGGGTTAGCTTGTATTTTTTTAATAACTTACTAGTAATATAATTAAAAGTGAAAATCGGTTTTGAAACTGTAAAAACAATGTTTGTATGCAATACTGGTTAAGGTAAATACCTCGCTCACTAAGAGACACAGGAATTCTGAAACCTTCACGTTGTACTACCAGCTACAGGAGGATTGGACATGTCAAACAAAAAACTGTAGGCCAGCCCTGGGGATAACCCCCTTACTACCAGCATGCTTCAGTTTTTGTTTTAATAGTGCCCTAGAAGGATGAATGTCATTTCATCAGTGCTACTGTTTCAAGACTTCCCTTTAATTTCCTCTAGTAACTTAATCTCTTCAATCAATAATGTTTATCCTATAGCTGCAGCAGGCGATCTTCCCACTTTCTTTGCAACTATCCAGTTTAGTAGTCCTTAGCCTTTGCTTCCAAGCTTTCACTGTGACTGGAGACACGGGACTTGATGTTACAGGGTGAGCGTGGAAGTGAGTCACATACACTGGGCTCTGTAAGAGTGCTTTCTGGACTGGCTTAGTTATGTTAGCTGGATAGTGCCTTCCAGTACACCACAGCAATTGCTGTAGGCATGCCCTGTCTTACTGTAGTAGGTAGGACATTCGAGCCATGCACTGGGAGCTTCCTCACTTTTTTAGTCAACGGACACAACATTTTATTCCCCTTTTTCCCCCACAGAATTGCAACAAGAGTTTGACATGACGGGTCATTCCTCTAGGTAGAATGTCGCTCTCTTTCCCCCCAGACAGAACTGAGGAAGCATCTCCCCACTGCTGCAAGATCCACAGGGAGCTACAATCCTTGCTCAGTTCCTGCTGTCCTCCTGCAGTGACCTTTGGTAACCTCCAGCTGCTCAACCCCCTCTGGTCTTGAGCCCTTCTGCAAGTTACGAGCTGTTCAAGTTTTGTGAGTATTCAAGGCCTTGGCTCCTGCTTGTACATTGCTTACCACACCTGTGATGGCAAGATGCCTGATTCTAGACAAAGGCGTACAGTCCCTCTGTACCAGTGCCCCAAGCACAATGTTCACTAACAGGTCAGGAACTGCTTAACCACTGCCAGTCTGGACACTTTCACCCCCTTCCTGTCCAGGCCAATTTTCAGCTTTCAGTGCTATCACACTTTGAATGACAAATGCGCGGTCCTGCAACACTGTACCCATAATATTTTTTTAGCATTTTTTGAGACCGATAAAGCTTTATTTTGGTGGTATTTATTCACCACTGGGATTTTTTATTTTTTTTGCTATGTAAATGAAAATGTTCAAAAATTTTGAAAAAAGTGTTTTTCTTATAAAATTTTGCAAATAAATAGTATTTCATCATAAATCTTAGCCAAAAATTTATTCCGTTATATTTTTAGTAAAAAAAAAAATAACCCAAATTAATTTATAACCAAAATGATCATTTTTAAACATTTGTTTTTATATTTTTTTTTTATTTATTTTTTTACATACTGTCACCCTAGCAGTACAGTGTCACCATGGTGACACTGTACTACTTGGGGGTGATGAAGATTTTTTTTTTTTTACATTGATTGCTTTTACACCCATAAAGGATGTAAAAGCAATAATTTCTCCTTCTCTCTAGGTGCATTCTTCCACTAGAGAACTACTGAGTGAGCTGTGATTGGTCACAGCTTGTCACATGGTACAAGGCTGTTGTGAATAGCCTTGTACCATGTGACCTCTGTGATCATTCACAGATTTCACACGTAGTAAGCAATGATGTAACAAGTGATATCTTGCTTACTGCTTTGCATGTGATCACTGATTGGCCAATCCGTGATCACATGATCGGGACCTCGTACAGAGGTCCCGTCCGATGATCGGTGTTCCACTGCGTGCTGAGGACACAGCGGGCACCGGATAGCGGTGCTGCATGCTCCCAGGGAGCGCGCACAAGCAGGGTGCGGGGAAGCCATTTATAAACGGCCACCCGCCCCTGCACTGCCACCGTCCAGCCGTTTATATACAACGGCCGGACGGGAGGTGGTTAAAGCACGCCTCATATTAGTGGCAACTATCTGGAGGTACTAGTACTAGAGTCTTTCCCTTCACTGGAGTCATCCTTGGCTAATTTCCATCCTCCAACTGTATGTGACTTGTACATATGCCCCTTCATCTTCTCCTCCCAATATATGACCTGTACATTAATAGTGCACTGTATGTAGTGCATCATGTTTTAGCCACCTCAATACCAACATTTTCAAAAAACCGTGATACAAAAAAATCAGATCACATTGGGGTGTCCCCTTTTCAAAAAGGGCTCCCTTGGTGGTGTTCATGCTGTGTTGCCATTTTTGTTTTGTAACATAATGTAATGGAAACAGTACTTCTGTTCTAAAATGTGTCTTTTTACCTTGCATGGTAAAAAATAAAAAAGTTCAGTGGTTACCACCAAAAGAAAGTGCTATCTGTCTAAAAAAAAAAAAAAAAAAAAAAAAAAAAAATTAAAATTTGGGTACAGCATTACATGATTGAGTAAGGCCTGTTTACACAGCAGTGGACTTTACTGCTCCTCTGAAAAAAGATCTGTGGTGGGTCACTTTTTCAGAGATGACTGAGTGGAAGTTTGCAGGCGTTCAGGAAGGGATACTATTTTTTTTATTTTTTTTTTTAAGTTTCTGATCCCAAGGGTGATTTTATATTGAAATACCGTGTGACAACTGCATGCCAAGCATATGACACATGGTTGTGGCATGGTCCTAGTAACTTTAATGAGCACACTTTGGGGCTAAACACATGCATGCATGCCTTCTGGATGACCTGGCCTCTCAATAAAGAGCACCTGTCTCTTTTTTTCTAAACAGTAACAAGGCTTTACCGCGTAAAAATTTTGAGAAAAATATTCTACTTTATGTAGAATATTTCCGCTTGCAATACAAGCTTTTTAAACTAGAAGCCACCTTCACCCCACGCACCTGGTTTCCACTGGCTGTACTGCTCCATGACCACCACTTATTTTCCTTCAGGTAAATATTGCAATGTATCATACAGAGAGGGCATAGTTATGCCCTCCATGTATGTCTTATGGAAATCTACCTCTGATATTCCCTCCCATAACAGGACTTACTTTTGATCCTGTCATACTTAGTAAGAGACAGGAAAAAGGTGTTTCCATGGAGTAAAGAATAGAAAAATACCCCTGAACACATTCAACTAGGTGATATGAATATGGCTATTATATGCATCTAGTGATAAATTAATCTACTTTTTTCATGCTAATTAGCTGCTTGTCTACTGAATGAAGCCTAGTATAATATGTGAAACATGAAATATATAATGGAGTAAGACAGTCCCTATGTATTGTACAGTCAGTTTGGAAGTTTACAGCTATGACTGCACTGACCATGTGATACTGGCAAGTTGCGCCATAAAAACGTGACAAATATCAGCCAGTCATCAAAGCCTGTGCATGTTTAATCTATTGGGATCATCATGTGACAATATATGGTCTTTGGTATATTGTAATATATTTGCTATTTTTGTGGTCTGTTACTGCAAAGAAACATTATTTGTTGTTGTGCATTACTTACATTGAAAGAGGTGTATGGTTTCTTGCTGTATTATAACATATAAGACAAGGATGAGTTGAGGAGTGTTCTCCAGGAAGGTCTCTACAAGTCTCATCATGCTAATGTCATGAGTTAGAAAATAGGCATATTCCTGGTATGGGCTAAACTCTGGACTGCTTTCACTGCTTCGGTATGCAGCTATCCCCACTTCCAATGAATGTAGGCACCTGTAAGGATATTAAAGTGCATGTAAACACAAAATATAAAAACATGTAATAAAATCATACAGTATAATTGTTTCTAGTGCAGCGCAATCCAATAACTAACTTTCCCCAGACCTTAGAGAACAAAGAAGACAGCGATCATTTGATCACTGATAAAACAGTGAAGAAGAAAAGTATTTGAAATAACAGGATATTTTGTTACTCAATGTAAAATCCTTTTCTCTGAGTTCAACAGACACCACTCTTCTGATTCTCGACCATAGGGTTATAGCACCACCTACAGATGTAGGACACTAGGCAGTAAAACACAGCACCGCCTATATGCAGTCCTAGCTGGTATAAAACCCCTCTCTACTATAGGCAATCCAGTTAGGCACAAAGCAGTACATAAACTTTCATAGAGGGGAGAGTGCTGTGTCCGTCCGTCAATTCAGAGCAAAGGATTTTACAGTAACTAAAATCCCGTTTTCTCTTACGTTAATTGATGGATACAGATCTTCTGATTCTTGACCATAGGGATATCCCAAAGCAGTGCCGCAATGGGCAAGAAGAAAAAAAAAAACTGGATTGCCTATAGTAGAGAGGGCTTTTATACCAGCTAGGACTACCCATTGGCAGTGCTGTTTCTTTTTCTACCTATTGTCCTCCTATAGGTGGCGCTATAACCCTACAGTCGAGAATCAGAAGAGCTGTGTCCAATGCAGAACATAAGAGAAAACATATTTTAACACCTTCTCTGTACATTGGGGATGCAGTAGGCCATCATAACACTATGTGAGTTTGTGTCTTGTATATGTTACATCTGTTTTACGTGGTACTTCAAATTGGTCAATTCCCCAGAGTTCTATGAAGAAAAAGAGTGTGCACATTAAAGGATAAACTGTATGAAATAATAAAACCAAGCTAGCAAACTGTCTAGCAACAGAAGTAGTGCCTTATAAATAAGGTAGAAAAATGGGCATTAACAATTTAGGCCAACTACACACACTGTAATCAGAGTAAAATCCCTGTAAAATCTTCCTAAAGGATAAGTGCACTTCACGTATTCTGTTTTCTTCTTTAGGATGACCCAATTCATGCCCCATCCCACCAGAGATGCATACCTACCTTGATCTGACAGCCACCGGGGATTGTTTACAACCCATGCTTCATGTCTTCTGTGTCCTGGCCATGCCAGTGCAGTAAATCTCCATAGAAGACTAAGGGTCTGGACTATCTCCCTCTGTCTCCATCTGGGAGATGCAGGGAGACAAGCCCCGTGGTCTTCAATGGGGCTCTATTGCGCACACGTGCAGGAAACAGAGGGCTTGTGGCACAAGGTGTAAACAATCCTCAGAGGCATCTTTGGAGAGAGGCAGTAGAATCCATTAGGTCACCTTAAAGGGGTGAACCAGATTAGCACAATTTCTTTGAAAGTGCATTTATCCTTTAAAGCCCAACTACAGGAAACCGGAAATTACACAAAATGTAAAAAACAGATGGTTGTGTATTGCATAAATAAGGATGCAATACTCATGCGCTGCCACAAATGAATTCTACACTGCTGCAAACACCTATGTTCCCACATCAATAAATTACCCCAAGAACAGTGCTGCGCTGCCCCCTATTGTCCCAAAAAAATAATCAAACACCCTCCTGCGCATCAAACCCAATGTGTAAATAAATAAATCTGTGAAACAAATGAAGTTAATAGTTAATAAGGAAACTGAGCCACTAAATCCAAATGAGGATCTGTCCCCGAAGAAATCACGTGACCCGTGGCGTAACGTGTAGGAAGGATGCTTGTGTCCTCTTTTCTAGTGCGTGTAGCAGCAGCTATCTGTGTTCGCCCTGCTTTTCTCTAAATGCTTGGAATAGGTTCTGTGAACCTTTTATATACAAGCGTGGCGGTTTTTTATACATTTTTATGGTAGTAAAGCCTTCCTACACTATGAGGAGTTCTTTATCTTTTGAGCACTTATGCATTGGATAAAGGATTGTTCCTGAGTGCACCTGGAGAGACCTGTGGAAGCAGAGGATCCAGTGGGATTCATATGGAGCCCATGTTGACCTATATTTAAGGTGAGTGTGCATGACAGAAGGTGGAGGAGCACGAAAGATTTTCACACCTGTTGAAGTCACTGGTGCATTACTTTAACCACTTGCCGCCCTGCAACTGTAGAAATACGACGGCAGGGTGGCACGGGCAGGCAAAACCACGTTTTAAAATGTGTGTTTTGTAAACAGGTAGGGAGCGCTCGCGAGGCGCGCCGCCGCCCTACCTGCCCCACCGATCACAGCCGCGGATGTCAGTCGCCGGGTCACAGCCGGTCCTTACCGGCTATCTCCCGGTGATCAGTGGCAATCAGTGACAGAGAGCACAGCTACAGTAGCTGTGCTTTCTGTCACTTCCCTGACAGCTCAAGGACAAGCTGATCAGAACAGAAGAGTTTCACTCTCCCGATCAGCCGTGTCCCCTGCAGTACACACCCCCGCCCCCTAGTAAAACACTCTCCTCACACAGATAACCCTTCCCTGCAAAATAAACTTTACCCCTTTCCTCCCCAGTGCCATTAGTACAGTGTCAGTTTTTTTTTTTTTTTTTTGCAGTAATCACTGTATTGGTGTCACTGGGGATGTCAGTGACCCCAAGTCAGTACCCCCCCAGTGTCAGAATGTCCGCCGCAGTCCCGCCATAAGTCGCTGATCGCCGCCATTATTAGTATAAAAAAAACCCTAAAAATCCCAGTATCTTTCCCGCCATTTGTAAATGCTATAACTTTCACGTAAACCAATTAATTTACACGTATTGGGTTTTTTTTTAGCAAAGACATGTCGCAGAATGCATTTTGGCAGAAATTTATGACTAAATTTGATTTTTGCTTTTTTTTTTTTTACTGGACATGTTTTATAGCAAAAAGTCCAAAGTATTGTTTTTTTTTTTCCTCAAAATTGTCAGCCTTTTTTTTTTTATAGCGCAAAAAATAAAAACCGCACAGGCAATCAAATACCACCAAAAGAAAGCTGAATTTGTGGGGAAAAAAGGATGTAAATTTCATTTATGTACCATATTGCATGACCGCGCAATTGTCCGTTAAACTAGCGCAGCGCTGTATAGCAGAAAAATGGCGTAAATTGCAATATTTATACCATAGTTTGTAGACGCTATAACTTCCACACAAAACAATTACTATACACTTATTGGGATTTTTTTTACCAAAAACATGGAGCAGAATACATTTTGGCCTAAATTTATAACCAACTTTGAGTTTACTATATATTTTTGTAGCTGAAAGTAAAAAATATTGTTTTTCTTCAAGATTTTTGGCCTTTTTTTGTTTATAGCGTGAAAAATAAAAAGCGCACAGGTGATCAAATACCACCGAAAGAAAGCTCTATTTGTGTGAAAAAAAGGACGTAAATTTCGTTTGGGTGCAGCATTGCATGACCGCGCAATTATCAGTTGAATTAGTGCAGCGCCGAGTAGCAAAAAGAGGCCTGGTCATTTAAGGGGGGGGTAAATCCTCTGGAGGTCAAGTGGTTAAATGTTGGAAGAAAGAGACCTTTTTTTTTTTTTTTTTTTAATATCACTTTTTCTCTGCACTTTGCACTGTGTTACCCATCATTCAGCATTCATCATTTTTTTTTGTACATATTTCATAGAGTTGCTTATCTTTTTTTATTATGCACTTTTTGTGAATATCTAGTCCAGTTGAACATTCACTTGACTGATCACTTATTTATTCCATTGGGGCTGATTGCGCAGCCGGGCTTTTGTTTTGCAATTATTTAATACTGTTTTTGTTGGTTTTAGCACTTTATGTTTCAGCTCAGCCGGCTATTTCCTGCTATTGTGATTTTGTTTTATTTCTTATATACGTTTCACATATTTATTACTGGTTTTTTGTTTTTTTACACTATATTCTTCAGCTCAGCCGGGTGTTTAGTATAGGCTGGCCAGGTGTTTATTGCTACTTGATTGTGTTTTATTTTTGATATATGTTTCACATATCATTTGGATTTAGTAGCTCAGCTAGTTTCCTTATTAACTATTGACTTTATTTGTTTCACAGAATTATTAATTTATACATTGGGTTTGATGCTCAGGAGGGTTTTTATATATGTGTACTGCATAAATACATTTATTAGACATAAAGTATTTAAATATACATGTTGACTTGAGGGTATGTGCAGAATGTGTCCCTAAGTGTGAGAAATGAGAATGTTGGAATTTGCAGTTCTAAGCAAACGAGAGAGAATACAATCGGGAGCATGCTTGGACTTGTAATAAGATGTGGTTTTAATTATATGGACAAGACGTCAGGATTGCTAGGACTTTTACTTGTGATTTATAAGAAAGACCAGTTGGAATGCTAGGAGCTGTAGTTCCCAGGCAGAGATACTAGAACTTCTACACAGACATGGGCGACACCAATTGAGCATGCTGGGGTCTTTAGTTTAGACCCTAAGAGTGAAGAAGCGTTCAACTTGTAATACTACATAGAGAGGTGGATATATCAGCAAAACCTGCTGGGACTTGTGAGTCTAGTAAGTGTTTAGTAATAAGATAAGACTGACAACTGAAGATCATTCTGTGACTTCCATCCAAAAGCCAAAGACATCACCGTGCGCATGAAGTAGTTTTAGTAAGTCTAGGAATGGAATGCTCCTTGCACTAGATCTACTATAGCTCTGTGGCTACAGGCCATGTACTTGGCAACTTTTAGTCATTTTAAACCATGTTCCATCCACCAGAAATTGCACATAAGATCATAAGTAATCATCAGAAATTTCCATCCATGTGTTTAATCAACCACCAAAATTACATTAATCATGAATCTGAAACTGAGCAAAAAAATTTACATTTTTAATAATCTATTTACACTTGGAGTTTGTGGAATGCATGACAAAGCACACAGAAAACAAGTGTTTTGCCGCACATTTTAGAAATGCATGTCGCGTGTGTGGTGCCATTAGCTGTTCATGGCACCCCAAGCACTAGTAGCAGGCAGCATTTGCCACGC